TTATTATTATTATTATTATTATTGGCAGATAACTCCACCATTTGTGCCAATAAAAAAATCCTGGAGCATCTGGCTCTGTTGCATTACTGGTGACAGAGCACTCTCTTTTCTTGCAGTGATTTTCTGCAGTTCTTGCCCTGTTCAATGAAGGGCCTTTGTTTACCCAATCACTGGGTCAACCTAAACAGAGACTCATTCATACTAGAGTTGGCCCTCCACATTTGTGGCTTTGACTTTTGTGGATTTGATTATTTGCATATTTGATTAATATGCCTTCTCTAGGAATATCTAGGTCCTGTAACGCAACTCTGCTGGAAGTTTACCATAGAGTTGAACTGGAGAACCTAAACATTCTTAGAGAAAATACTTCTCTGGGTATTTGTGGGTCCTCCAACATGATTCTGTGGTCAATTTCTGGCAGATGGTGACTATAGAGATGCACAGGAGGACCTGGAGATTCCTAAAGAGATGTTCTCTCAGGTAAAAAGAATTGTGGGTTTTTTAATGTGTGTGTTTTCCCACATTCACAGGGGTCTTTCACCCCTAACCCCAGAGAGTGTGGAGGGACCACTGTGCAGAATTATAGCACTATGATTCCATTTTAATGGCTGTGTTTCCATACTGTGGAATCCTAGGAGTGGCAGTTTAGGGAGGGACATTCTCAGTCAGAGTGCTCCAGTGCCTCTGATCAAACTACAAATCCTTAGATTCCACTGGATGGAACCATGGCAGTTAAAGTGAAACCATAGTGATATAATTGTGTCATACAAATGGGCTTTGGTGCGTGATGAGAAACAAACCTCAGTGAAACCCAGAGTACCTCTCTAGCTCAGTGGTGATTGAACATGTAATGCTAAGCCAAGACTTGGATAGGTATCCATTTGGGTGCATGTTTGCTGTAGGCAGACTCCAGGTGACTGAAATTGAAGATAGTTCTCTATCTGAGAGTGTGAGTGGGAACATGACCTTAGAGGAACAAAGATGTCTTTGGAATTGAATTGCACTGTATGGTTGTTGTCAAAAACGCTGTGTAAAAATGATATCTGTTATGCAATCCATGTTTGTGTGTGTGTTTTGGCTGACTTTGCCAATTTGGTAACCAAGTTGTTCCATTTTTGTTTCTTTAAGTTTTGCAAAACCAATGTCATTGAGGTCAGGGCATGTCTTGCTGTTTTCCAGTGGTGTACATGCAAAATTATTGACTGACTTGGCACCATGATGACGTTAGATGTATTTCATATCCTTAAAATCAACATACTCATCTTCCTGCATTTATAAAATGTGTTTTGAGTCACTTAACATATGCACGCACAAAAGAAAGAGAGAATGTGTGAGTAAAAGATGGTGTGGATTTACAGACGTTCATATTCTGAAAAAAGGAAATACCAATTCTGCTGTAAAAAGATGGCAGTGGGAGGGGTCACCCCACCACCTTTTTACAGCAGATTTAGTGTAACCTTTGTTCCAAGTCTGATGTCCAAGTACTATGGATGAAAAGCTTTAAGGCCCCTTGATCTTATCTTCTTTGGGTTCTTAGTCTTGGCTTATGACTGAAAAGTATCACATGTGGCTGGCTTGCAGTTTTTCCTCATTAATATCTTTTGGCATCTTGACTACATTGTAATGCAGCTTGCTGCACAATTCCCATGTTTCATCTGTGAAATGTTGGACAGTATGTTGTTATCATGCAATGTTCAAGAGTTTACTAGCTAATCTGGGGAACAGGATGTTTGATTAAGGGACTATACAGACCAGCCAAAAGGACTGGCCCGGGGATGGAGTCGGGGTGTGGCAGCCACATGCCAGCCACCCCAACTCCACACCAATGCCACCATCACGCTGTCCACCCAAACAGACGGCGGGTGGCATCAAGGCACTCCCTTGGTGCAGCGTTTACACACACTGTGCCAAAGGAGTGCCAAAAAGCTGCTGCAATGGCAGCAAGGGCGGCTTTTTGCCACTCTAAAAAGGAGCAGCATTTGCAAACACTGGTCCTACTGTAAGAACTACTCATAGAATCATTGAGGTGGAAAAGACCACAAGGGCCATCCAATCTAACCTCTGCCATGCAGGAATACACAGTCAAAGCACTCCTAACAGATGGCCATCCAGCCTCTGTTTAAAAACCTCCAAAGGAGACTGCACCACTCTCCAAGGCAGTATATTCCACTGTCAAAACAGCTCTTACTGTCAGGACGTTTTTCCTAACGTTTAGGTAGAATTACTTGTTTTGTAAATTGAATCTATTGCTACAGGTCCTATTCTCTGGAGCTGCAGAAAACAAACTCATTCCATCTTCAGTATGATATTCTTTCAGATATTTAAACATGGCTATCATGTCAACTGTTAACCTTCTCTTCTCCAGGCTAAACATACCTAGCTCCCAAAGCACCGTCTTGGAGCCAGGGAAGGGGAGGAGCAGCTGGACGCCAGACACCCCAACCTCTTCCCGAGGATATCATCAGAGCGCATGCCATTGCACACGGCGAGCACTGTGATGACGTCCTCCCGGCGCAGCCTCTGCATGGGCCGAGCTAGAAGAGACACAGAAGAGCCGCGCGACGGCTCTTCCGGCTCCCTTTCTGCGGCTTGAGAAAGGAGTGTTATTTTGGCGCTCCTTTCCCATGCGCCAAAAGGGTGGATTGGGACCAAGGTGTGGGGCAGCCTCGGCCCCAATCCTCCGCTTCCCAGGGCGGCCCATGGCCGTCTGTCCGCATACCCCCAAAGTCTTTCTTCATAGGACATAGTTTACAGACCCTTCACCATTTTGGTTGCCCTTCTCTGGACATGTTCCAGCTTGTCACCATCTTTTTTGAATTGTGGTGCTCTGAACTGGATATAATACTCCAGGTGAGGCCGGAGCAAAGCAGAATAGAGTGGCACTAATACTTCCCTTGATCTAGACACTATACTTCTACTGATGCAGTGTAGAATCACATAGGTCTTTTTAGCTGCTGCATTACACTGTTGACTCAAGTTCAATTTGTGGTCTACTAGGACTCCTAAATCCCTTTCACATGCATTGTTGTCAAGCCAGGTGCCCCCTATCCTATACCTGTGCATTTCATTTTTTTCTCCCTAAGTGTAGTACCTTACATTTTTCCATGTTGAAATTCATTTTGTTAGTTTTGACCAGCTTTCTAATCTGTTCAAATCATTTTGAATTCTGATTCTGTCCTCTGGGATATTAGCTTCCCCTCCTAATTTGGTGTGGTATGTGGAGGGCAGCTGTTTCATCTTGCCTTTTGCTTTTGCATTGGTCCTTGAAGCAGTACCTTAACTAGAAAACTAATCTGTACTAATGAGTAGATGTGATTATGTTTACTTCTATGCCAGGAAAAGCATTATCTGTTAGCTTCTGAAGATGAGATTGCTGTTAATGTCACCGGAACAGACCAGACTGCATAATTTGGTTCAGTTGACAACCTATGTATAGGGAAAATAACAGTTGGTGATGAGGCTTTGTTCTGCAGATCATCTGCAAATTATAGAATATAAAAGGGAGCCCTGGTGTCGCAATGGTTAAATGCTTGTACTGCAACCACAAGGTTGTGAGTTCAATCCCAGGGGCTTCAAGGTCCACTCAGCCTTGCATCTTTCCGTAGGTTGCTAAAATGAGTACCCAGCTTGTTGGGGGCAATTGGCTTATCATTGTAAAGCACTTCGTTCATTGATAAGTGTTACAGAAACATACTTGCTATTGCTATTGCTGTTAAGGTTGAAATAGATCTTAGAAGCCATATAATCCAACCCCCTGGTTATTATGGGAATGTCTTAAATAGAAGAAATAAAGAAAACCTATAATTTTTATTTAAAAAATATTTAATTGATACAGGGA